GGACTAGAAAAGGTAGCTTGGGAAAACAACTGACAAGACAGATCATTTCAGGTTAATTCAGAAATACAGAAGAGCTAGATTGGAAACTTGAGACATTGAGTGCAATTTGAATCAGAATTGGCAAAATTAATTTAGCGTCAAGAACTGAGTGAAATGATAGGCATTTACCCTTTCTTTCTGAATCCCTTTTCTTTAGTCTCCTTTATATAATGTATCTTGCCTTAGCTGTGAGTATGTAGCCAGCCTCCAGTTGACAAATCTATAACTAAAACATCCACTTTTCTGTTCTCTCCATAGACAATGACTTACTGGAAAATAAGGTTTCAAATAAGGTTAAAATTAGGACAAATATGAGGATGCAGTGCTATCCTCTATGTGCCTTGGAAAATGGTCTGGCATTATTGTCTATGCTGGCTTCTACAGAGAGAGTGGACAAATGGATGGGATTTGAGAGACCAATTATCACGTATGATGTTGTACCATTGTACCACAGAACCGTATCTGCACAACTAATTATATCACATCAGCACTTACAAAAAGAGGAGAAAACCGAAAAATTTACAATCCAACAACAATGAATTTCTCCATCATGCCACCCTCAAATAATCTTGCCAAATATCTTTTTCACAAAATTGTGGGACAAATCTTACGCCGTTTAATTGTACAATTGCATATCACAAGTAGTGGGACAAACAATTATTCTCATATATAGCTCGAGAAGGCAAAAAGCTGAGAAGCAAAAATATAGATTAATTTTTTTTAAAAAGAGCCTCAGAACGCTTAATATTAGACAATTATTTACATAATTACACTTCCTTGACCTTTCAGCAATGAATGACTCATCAATTGCAGATATCCAGTTAGTTAGCAGCCTTTATGATCAAAATACTGAACAATTTATTGGCAGTTATTGAGCCTGATGTTGTACCCAGGGCACAATGGCACAGTGCTGAACGACCCACTGTGGCTTCAGAGACTTTGATGTCATAAGCCTTTAAATCAATATCTGAATACATTTAATGGGCAAGTGTGCAATTGTACAATTTAAAACAGGGTCTAAAATTCATGGTAGTTTCTGATTACAGGGACTAGGACATAGTTGTTAAGATCACCTCTCTATCTTTAGATCTTAATTTTATTTCTGCTGTGATGATGCAATGACAAGACACTATGATTGAAAACCACGTTTTGTTTCTTTTGATAGATATTTTCAATGAAAATATACTTTCCCAATCTTCCCACTTCAAATCTATTATATGTTGTTAATGCATGAGAGAACCTGCCAGTTTTTGATGCTCAAGTGAGCAGGACATGTGCAATTAACGTTTATGACAATTCTCTCTCCTTGCAAGGGTGTATGTCATGTTTGGTTTTCCAATGTATTAATACTTAGGTTTGGATTAATAACTGAAGGACTGCAGTTCAGTCTCATCTCCTTCTACTTTATATTGCAAAGGAGTACAACCCAACTAACGAGATGTTACAGTCTATTTCCTCCTGTTCCTTTCACATTTATTGCATCATCCACAATATATGCAATTCCTGCCAAGTGGGTGATAAGGAATATCTGCCCCAATACTGAAGTCTTTACGATTGTACAATTGAGATCCTGGGTGCTCAGTAAACTTGACATTTTTTCCTCCAACCTTTAAAGATGGAAATGTTGGCTGGGAAGCATTTCCCACTGAGTAGGCTTCTGTTCTTCAGGAGAAATCCCAGAAACATGCTTTCAACCAAATGCCCAATGTCACCTTCAAAAACCAGCATAAGATTCAGATGATCTAGCACATATTTCATGCCATCGCTTCCAACCTATTTTTCTACCCTTCCTGGCTAAAGGCAACAAGGTTGATCTGGATCTTTTGGTTTCCCAATGCTAAGTATGTACACTTCCTGCAAGGGTCGCTGAAAGGGTCAATTTTTCCCCTCATCCCTGAGCCACAGATACCAGCTACATCTGCGGTATATACATTAAAGGTAAAGTCACCATAGTTCCACTCTCTTGTTAAAGAGAGACAATTGGTGGTGAATTTAACCTGAAGGTCATGCATTTCAGGTAAGATTGAGAAGACAGGATCCTTCTGATGACCTAAGCCAGTCTGTGAAATTGAACCCATGCTGTTGGTATTACTGCAGTGCAAACCAACCATTCAGGCAACTGACCTAATATACGTGGGCTGAGACTAACTAACTGACCATAGACTAGGAACTCAAATACATGGTATCCCTGGTTTATGGGATTAAACCTAAAGGATGTCTGTTAAAATCGAAAGGACATTGCTAGTTTAAAATATTTTGCGTTGTTGCTAAAAATGAAAGAATAGTCCTAAAATGTGAAAATTCTTTCAACACTTAGATTTTTTTCTAAACGAGAAAACGAAATGGCTGATTTTGCTTTAGTGTGATTCACACTGCCCTTTACCATCAGCTTTTATGTCAGTTCTATCTCTAATTTTACTTCCTTTTAAATGTGTCACATTGCTGCTGCAGAAGAAATGAAAAACAAGTATTTTAAACAATTTGAAACTATCTACATATTACAAGTATAAAGTCAGTTTAATTCAATGATTGGTTCTCCTGCTGTATTTGCATCACCTCTCATTAACCAAATCTCTTGACTGAATTACAGTCCTTTGCCCCAGCTTTCTCTATTCATTCCATTGATACCAATTTACTCTGCAGACAATTACAGAGGCTTGTCCATGTAGCAAAGTGTGTAAGCCGAGGCAGTGAGCAATGATCATTTGTTTAACCACATAGAGCATCAGAACAGGGCCAGATCCCATTCTCACTCAACATCATATCTACAGAGGTACAAGGGGTCACAACGTACTTATCAGCCTCCCAGGGACTCCTAGGGCAATTTTCACACAGACTAGGAGACTAAGCTTAAACCTTCCTGACATGCATGCTTCAGTTCCATAACAGATGATGTATTTGTCTGTCTCTCTCTCCGCCCCCCCCCCCCACAAAATATGCAGTCTTTTATAACCACCACTTGTTTTAATCACGAAGATATTACTGCCAGGATGCAAACATGTAAATTAGCAAAATCAGTTTTGCATTATTTCTCCAATTTGCAATTCCCTTGAGGTTTTTAAACCCCTGAAGTCTCTGCCTTTTACCACGCTTTTCTTTTTGGAATGCTTATCTATATGCTACAACTAATACCCCTCCAATAGTGGCTGACAGCAGGTGCTGCCTTTATTTGATGGGATCGCACCACTCCTAGATTTAGTTTCTACTTGTTCATCCCAAATGGAATATTCCAGTTTCATTGCAGAACTAATCTAGCGATGGACCAAGTGTAGGTTAAGACGTCTCCCAATTAAGATACTGCACCAGCGACAGAGCACTGAGGACAGGTAAACTTGTTTTATGGTATGATCTGCAGGAATAAGAAGCTTCTTCTGCCATTCATCAAAAACACTACCCTTGCCTTTCTCTGCAATACTGATAAATAACGATCTGTTTATTTCATTATAGAGCATTATGGAAGACATTCTGAATGTGCAAATAGCAACCTATGTTCCATTATTGCTGTTAGTTATCCAGCTGTCTGGAAATTGCATAATTAATATATTAATTAATGCAGTCTTTTATCGGCCTGCTTGTAAGCAATCAGTACCGTGCATAAAATTACAATATTTACCTTAAATAGAGAAGGGATAAACTAAATGTAGAATTATCTTGGTAACCAACTACAGATTAATTCCCAATATAAATATCAGGCATCAAGACCCTCTGCACCAAATGCTGCTGATGTAGGTAAGACATTCACGGCAGTAATGTGGTGACACGGATTTATAATGAACACTAAGGCAATATCGGGAGTAGTCAATTCCAGGATAGCTGGAACCCCCTCTGTCTTCACATTTGTCATTTAAACATTTTCATTAAAATACAGCTTCCCGAGATATCAACTATTCTGTGCCGAACCCCAGCAACGTATCAGTAAGATAGATCCTCTAGTGAAGGTAGTCTCGCCAGGATTAAGACAACATCGGAAGAAGATTGAAGAATCATATGTCGAGTGGCAGATTTCACGCAGAAATCGCACTGTTCATGGTGTTTCTTTCCCCTGTGACCAGTTTGAGGGAGGGGTTAGCTGTGAAAATCGCATCTGCTCTTCTTTAGCAGCAGCGTTCCGCTTTCTCTGCTGCCTGGTACAGCATTATCTGTCCCTCCCACCCAAACTGCAAGGAAGGAACTGATGCGATAGATGGCAGTTTGAGCGGGATGCTGACTGCATCAACACTCACGTAGATTATTTTTACACACACACACGTATCTTCGGAAAAAGACTCAACGTCAATTAAAATGGCTCGACGCCACGGCTCCTCAATTCCTGAACTGGGTAAACGGATGGGACCTCCCCTCCCACTGGCTCTGTCCGCTGTACTCAGCCCCGCTCTGCTCTCACTGCATTTCTGCAGAGCTGGAGAGTTGGGGTTCTGGTGCCGGACGGAGTAAACAGTAACGGATCGATTCCAGTGATTAATGCTCAGGAGTGAGAAATCAACGTCTATCCTTTTGGTTTTGAGTAATATTCACAATCCGAAAGCCATAATAGTTTTTTTTTTAAATTAAATCATTAACAATACAGACTCAGTCTTTTTGCTGCTCCATGTCTCTGTTATGGTGTTACAGCACCATCTGACACAGGATAACCCACAGAGTTTCCCAATCTAAAAACCACCGAACTCAGCTTCACTGACTCTCAATCATTAGCCCGTTACCTCTCTGAAATACAGGGGTTGACAGCAAAGCCTGTTCCCACATTAACGGGCTGTTTGGAATTGTAACTGGCTGTTAAACTGCTGCTCTGCATCCAGCTGGTGGGGGCTGGGTCCAGTAAACTCCTGATCTTGTACCTCTCTCTCTCTCGCCATTGCTGCCTGTGAGCCAGCCCCACAAGGTGAGCTGGTTGAGAGAAGCCCAGCACCAGACAGCTATCCTGGGCATTTCTCCAAGCTCCCTCGCTTTCCCTCCCTACCCACCTCTTTCAGCTGTTCCAGCTCATGTTTGACTGTCTCGTAGGCGCTTTCCAGCTCGTCGTACTGCTGCTTCAGCGACTGTTTCTCCTCCAGAACCACCAGCCCATATTCTGCAGCTTGGATTTTCTCGTGGGTCGTCTCCGTTAGCTCCTTGGCCAGCCTCTCGATCTCAGCTTTGTAATGCTCCATGCTCTGCATCTGCAGCAACTCGCCTTCAGCAGCCATGGCCGTGGCTCGTGTGTGTTCCCAGGGTCCGGTGAAGTGGCAGGCTGAGTGTGTACCTGCAGAGAGCAGCCTGCTAACACACGCTCAGAATGGGAATGAGGAGGAGCCGCTGCTTCACCGCCGCTGCGTTGGCAGCATTGCACCTCTTGTCTCGCCGCTTCTGGTCAGCAGAGATGCACCTTTCGTGATCAGAAGCGAGCCGCCATCTCCAGTCTAACCGAGCCCTGAACCTCCTCTGCCACATGACGTCAAGGGCAACAGAAGCAACCCAGGCTGAAAAAAAATCCTCCGAAACACACAGCAGAGGTCAACATAGCTGGGTGAACGCCTGATTTCACACACACACAAAACATCAGAGTTTAACCTCTCTGGACAACCGCGTTGTTGACGAGGCTCCAACTCAAACTACCAGAATAAACTCACGGCACCAAACTGAGTTTCCCAATCGGGATTATCTCCATAACCAACAAGGTCTAGTGATTGAGGATAATCCCATTACTGATGGAGCTGGGATTTCCTCTCCTTGGATAATCCAATCACTCAGATCCTGCTCCATTATCCTGGATAGAGCTACAGCCCTAATAACCTGGGACAAATCCAAAGGCCTGGAGTTCACTGATTGTCTCGATCCCGCATGTACTAGGGAGTTTAATGTCTCGGGGAAACCCCCAGACATGAGCGTATATTCAGTATCCAAGCATTAATGCAGCTGTGGTAATAATGAAAAATTATCTTAACAGAAGACAAATCTATCTAATTAAATTAATCTCCCAGAACATAGTAACCTGATTAAACCCATCCTTCCCTAGTGGATGCTGCTGTTGTTCAGTATCTCAGGATAGATGGAATTAACCTAGAAAACGAACCCAATGTTCCAGGATCTAAATCTCACTTTATAGAACTGGAAACTAAAGCAATCCAATTTGTAAAAGTACAACATCCCAGAAAAAGGTTAATACACCCAGTAATTCCAGGGAAAATGCTTTACAGCTAGTGGAAGATCCCTATTACATCCAGTGCTGGATTATAATTTGATCCAGTGTTCAATCCTAATTACAGCCAACATTAGATCCCAATTACACTAAGCACTAGATCTCAATTATATCTAACATTAGACCTGAACTACACCCAGTGCCAGACCATATTTACACCCAGAATTAAATCTAATTAAAGCTAGTGCTGGATACCATTTAAATCCAGCGTTATCTTCCACTTACAGCCAGCAATAAATCCCAATTACAACCAGCGTTAGATCCCAATAACATCAAGTGATGGATCCCAGTTACATGTAGCACTATAACCCAAATTCAGTCAGTATTAGTTCCCAATTACACCTAACGATAGATACCAATTCCACCCAACATTAAATTCCAATTAAACCCAGCATTGAATCTCTAGCGGCCTCAGTGCTAGATCCCAATTATAACAAGCATTAGATCCCAATTACACATTGTGTCAGATCCCATTATGCTAAGTACCACGTCCCAACTACATCCAGTATTAAATCCCAATGCTAGATTTCAATTACACCCAGCACTAGATTCCAAATAACACAATGCCAAATCTCAATTGTGTCCAGTGCTAGAGTCTATTTGCACCCAGTGTTAAAGGCTTTTCCTTCTAAAAATATATTTTAAAATTTGTAATATTATTAACATGTAACAAATGTGATTGTCTACACAATGAAGTATATGTCAATTAGGATGAATATAGTACATTGTACTCCAAGATGCCTTACTTCATTTACAATGCAGATCAACTCTACATTTACCTAACCTGCACGTCTTTGGACTGTGGGAGAAAACTGGAGCACCTGCAGGAAACCCACTCAGACACAGAAAGAATGTGCAAACTCCACACAGACAGAGGCTGGAAACAAACTTAGGTTCCTGATGCTGTGAGGCAGCAGTGCTAACCACTGAGCCATCATGAGATGCTTTGGGGGCCAATCAATGTGTGAGAGAAAGGTATGATCAGATCTGATAAAATACGGAGATCACCATATAACTGATGATAAGATTCTGACCTATAATCAAGGGGAAGCATTCTCCCTACATTTCAGTTTCTCCTTGGTTTTAGTTGTGCTCTTCCCTGTTTCTTGGTGCACACTCTGGAGTCCTGGAACTGTATTCTGAGTGACCTCAGATAATCTGACCTGATGAAGGGAACAAAAGATCAGTTGGCCCAATTCCCAAAGAACATTGTCTCAATTTTCCAGCAATTTACTCTGGTTTGAACTGGTTGTAGACGCTCATCTATGTTCAGATCAACAGTTGATCCAAACAGAACATGGTGATGTTGTTGATGGGCAGGAAAGCCTTGACCTGAATGTCTCTACCACTTGGGATACTCAACCCTCTTATGCCCATATCCTTGTTAATGGCCTCTGCAAAAAAGAACACACCATCAAGACAGAGGAGAGAGGGCAGCCTTGGCTAATTTCAAATTTGGCCAGAAAGCTATCTGATTCTTACCTGTATTAAACCTCACTACTGGTGAAATACTGAAATAGAGTAGTTGAATCCAATTACAAATTTTCTCCCCAAAACCTATTTGTAATACTTTATGAAAAGTCTTCTCCTGGCCCAAGTTATTGAATAATAAATCCACCACCTATACTGAACAGAGACAATAGTCTTCCCTGAATAGTGTAAGGTTAGCAGAGATCTTCCTGCCAGGTATAAAACAGATCTGATCCATTTGGCTTACTAAACTTCAGAACAGACTTGACTCAGTTGGATAGAATTTTCTAATCTATTCTCAGAAGTGAAATGGGTGCCAATTTCAGTTCTCTCTTCTTCGCTACAACCCCATACCCCCAGCTTGTAGATGGACATGATAATACCTTCCCTTATGAATTCTGACAGCTGCCAGCCTGGAGCATACTCTCATACTTCTAGCAGGTCTGTGTTGAACTAGTCCCACAGGGTCCAATAGAGCTGAATCATTAAACCATTTTATCCAGGAATTTCAAGAATACGCAACCTTTGTCTTGCTCTTCCAAATTTAATAAATGATCCAGAATCCCTTTCTTGCTGTCACTGAAAAACTCTGTGATTTAGGACAGGATTGATTAGAAGGGCATGATGCCTGGGTATTAGAGCTCTTTACAGTGTCCATTACACCATATTATACCTAGTTCTAGAGCTTGTTACGCCTTATTAGAGCCCTTTACAGTGTTGGAGCCCTTTAGCTATGACTTTAGGGCCCATTACACATAATGATAGATCCATTACACACAGTTTTAGATTCCTTTATACCTCATGTTAGAGCTACTTTATTTCTCATGTTAGAGTTCATTACACCCCATGTTATATCCATTAGAATTAATTTCAGCCAGTGAAAGGAAGAAAATACACCATAATGTTTAGAAATTGCTGGTCAAAATATTAGATGATCAAACTTTATGCATTTGCATAACACCTATGAAGTCTATTTTAACACAGGGATGTCTCAATTCTTATAAATAGACAGCACCTCCACTAAAACTGCAGACAGTGGAATTTCATATAAGACATTTGAGATTAATCATGTGCTGATATCACCTACAATAATTTGAAGGGTTGTGGGTGTTTTGAATTTTTCAAGCCCATATATTTCATCATTATTGAGATGAAAGTAAAATAATAAAAGTAGAATCATGAAACTGAGCAAGAATAGACCAAGGAGACATATTTGATTTCAATTTATTTGATGTGTTTATGTTAGACACATTCCCAGCAGTACAGTAGTGACAACAATTCAACAATTAAAGAATAATACCTTAACTTCAGGCGTTAATTTGTGAGGAATGACTATACAAGTTAGGTGTGTGTGCTCCAAAATTTAGAAGGTTAAAGAGTGATCTGACCAAAGTGTTCAAAATATTTACATGAAAAGACAGGCTAGATAAACATAAACTATTTCCACTGGTTGGGGATTCTAGAACTAGAGGGCATAGTCTGCCTGAGAATTATGTTCAATATCTTAATCGGAAACATGCTTAATAATCAATCCAATGTTATGGATGTTAACCAGAAATTCCAATCTGCAAATTTAAACACAAATTATGACAACTGGTTCAAGGTAAAAATAATATTCTTTTAGTAATCTCCACCCAAAATATAATCCCGATTCAATTTGCTATCTCACTCACTCTCCATTGGTTCAAGGGGATATTTGCTAGGCTTGTGTGACACTGTTTGAATTGGCTGCAGGTAACTTAAGAATATATGTTCTGCACCATGTATTCTACTTACAAATTAACAATATCAAATTCCCCTGAACTGACACCACCTGACCACCCACACAAAATCAGAGCATTTGTTTGGTTTCCTTTTCTGTGCCAATCTCAGTTAGAGCAGGGGATGAATCTACGATTGGATTCAGCACACCTGAATCAGTGTAGTAAAAAATAAACAAGAGTTCTATTCCAGATTGCTATCTAGTGACGTCCTGAAATGCATATTTCTAAGCAGCTGCTAGGAATTGAGAGCAGCATAATACAGGGCTGCCCGTGATTTGGATAGGGGGTTGACATTCACAATCAAATGTGTAATGTAGCAGAGAGGTTCTATGGAATATAGATCATGTCCTAGTATGAGTCAATGCATTTAGTGAAATTCAGCAAGGAATTAAATAAAATATGCCAGCAACTTAGGGCTGTGTGAAACGTGTTATA